AACATCTTATCCTGATGGACTATGCATTTCATTATGTTGAAATTAAACAATTACCAAGTTTACATGGGAAAGACAGTGAGCCAAAATTGAAAGAGATCATTATCTAGATGAGAACGCAGACTAGAACTATTTCTCCTGCACGTGTGTTTGATTTCTTAAGTTTGCATGTCTGTATAAAGCATGGAAATAGAATAATATCCATTATTAGTAATATTAGTCTCAAAGCTACTTTTGGAAAAATTACAATAAGCTGCTTGAAATTCTACTAAATAACAGAAATGCATACTTTTAATAACTTAGCCATTTGTAGTATATACAAATATTTAATGCAACAGATGTGATAATTTTAATATTTTTATATCCAGTATAAGTGTGGAAATGTTAAAAATGCGCTTCTGTTTCAGATTTTGTTTTTGGCAAGCACTCACATGCAAAAAAGAAGACACAGACCAAAAAATAAAAACATCCTATTTTAAAGAGTCCCGGGCACTATTCTGAAATTCTTGACTGGGCAGGAGAAGAATCTGACCTCAGAGTAAAGCAGTATCAGAGGAAAAAAGGCAGTGGCAATGCCGGCTTGCATGTCTGGACCATTGCCCACACGTGGGCCCCGTGCCAGAGATGGCTCTGGCATTCTGCACAGGGGACGCTGCCCATCCGAGCCTTTATTTTATTTCAGAAAAACGAACAGCTCTGCACAGATTGGCTCTTTGAAACTGTGGGTGTATGAGGAAAAAGTGGCCAGTTGGTGGTTTGTGGACCAAGAAAGAGAGCTGGATGCTGGAAGAAGTTTCTACATCTTCCTTGGTAACCATTAGAGGAGAGTCATGCTGAATTACGATAAAAGAATAAATTTATATATATATATACATACACACACATGTATACATACAGATGTCAAAATATTGGGATGCAAATGTAGAAAATGTCTAAAAAGAAGTTATTTTACATATTAACAAACTCTTAGCATATTTTATATCATAAGTTTCTAAAATACTACATGGAAAATTTTAGTGTTCTCCAGGAATCAGACTAGTTAAGGACCTCAAGATTTTATTATCGACAATATTTGAATATAAAATGTTTAATTCTCTGAGCAGGAGTGTTTCTGACAGTCAAAGTTCTACACTTTTGTAGAACTTTCAAAGTTGTGCAAAGTGTCCTAGGAAAAGCGCCTACCTGTGCCTTTCAAGACTTTGCAATGTAATGCTTTATTTTCTAAGAAATAGTTAAAGAGCATTTAAGTATGAACATTGCATAAAATCATGACTGACCACCACAAAGATACACCATAATTATAATAAATCTGGTTTTATTTAGTCCATGTATATATTCATGGCCTCTTCTAATAAATGTGCACCCCTGAAAATGCTTAATAACTGTACAGTGGGAAGCAACCGATCGTTCTTAATTAAGCATCAAACGTGCTTCTTCACACAGCTGCACACGTGTACTAACCTAATTGTTAGCCGCACCTGCTCCAAGGTAGCAATATTTCATAGAGCGCATGGCAAGAATGACACTTTCAAGTGCTAATCTGTTGAATGTAAATCTGTACTTTCTTTCAAGAGTTTAGAAATCTTATGCTTTTTGCCACATAGGAGCCTAGTGTACAAAAATGTGGGCAATTTTGACTTTCTTTACTTGAAAACAAAGCTGTTTTTCCCATTTAAAATAAGTTATATTCTTCCATATTATAACTGAGTGATTTTTCACTGAGAAATATCTCAGTAATATTTTTCAACATTTATATAAAGAAATTTTTCATTCAACCACTTTTTAAAAGCTGAAAATCTTTCAGACTGCTGCAAGCTGTAAAGAAGGTAAAATGTTCTATCCACCACCTCCAGTGCCATGATGATTTTTGTCACTGTCTGAAATCTTCAGTGTCTGAGCCTTCAGAACAGCAATGATAAAAAGAAAATTACCTTCTTGAGATTATGAGTTTAAACTCTTGATTCTGCACATGCAGCAAACTGGTGCCCAGAGGTCACACCCCTTTCGGTAGGAGCCACCCAAAAATCTGAAGTTGAAAAGACCATACAGTTCAGATACCTTGATTTATGATACATGGAAACACTTTTTCATGAAATAGAAGTTTTGTATTAAGTCTCTGTGGCATGAAATCCTAATTTCTTGTCTTGTAAAACAATGTTCTGTTTTTTAAGAGAGCGAATGTCTATCCACACCTGTAGTCTGCCAAACATGAAATTGAAAGCGTGTTTAACATAATTAAAAGCAAACACATAGCATTGTGACAGGTAACGTCCTAGAGGTTTAGTCGGTCCTTCACTTGTTAAAGGATCACAACACTGTCTGCTCTGATAATAGAGTGAAGAATGAGGTTCCCATTGCCACAACACCAAAAGATTCCTCGTCTCCTGGTAAGATTTAGTTGCACGTTTATGTGAATATAAATATGCCTTTAAGTCAAATGAAAATATACTCCACTTATAGACTTGGAGGTCAATGTTTTCAGAAACTTAATAAAGTTACTTAGGAAAAAAATTAATTTTCTATCTTAGACTACCATCGTTTTCAATTAATTTTAATAAACTAAGATTTTTCTGTACAACTACAAAAAGACTACCCCCAAATTTAACAAGAACTTCAGAAGAAAACAAAACTAAGGGAACTTTTGTGTCAATCATTGGTACATGAGTCATAACTTATTTTGGAAACCTGGCTACTTATAAAATGATTTTTAGTCATAACAGCACAAAGATACAAAAAGTTTCTAAAGATCTATCAAGAGCAAAGGAAAATATATACACCACCTAATTTTCTTCAGTGCTTTGCAACTATTAATTTGCAAAAAATTATTTTTACTTAAAATAAAACTCTGTATTTCTAAGAAGCAATGATTACCAGAAATCTCTGATGTCCTATAAACGTGATCGTTTCACACTATCAAATCAATGTGGTATTCTGCATTCGGTTTTTTGTTTGCATCTGAGTGAACATGGCTGCTAATTATATTATCTTGGTGCCACATAAGTGCAAATGGGGAAAATCTCATGATTCTTATAGAGCACAAAACATTCCCTGAGATTCAAATGTATATACTTGCTTAGACTGAGCACTCATATATTGCAGTGAATTTTACTTTGTCAGAGAACTTAGCTTAATTCAGAATTTCTGTTTCATGAATGATGTAGCACTTCTCCAAAACACCAGGGCATGTATGTGTGCACATGCACACGCATGCACACACACATCACACACAGAAAGCTTTAGACTTATCCCACTACTTTTATATTTAGCTTCCCTGCTTGTATATTTATGCTTTTCTAAAATAGTTTAAGTTCTTGAGGAGTCTGTATTCATACAAACCACCATATAGATCTAATGCCCACATTTGTCATAATAAAGCCCTACTATGCTAAGTGATTAAAGTTAAATCAAGTTTCTAAAACTGAAAATTAAAGAGAGCATAAGAACAACTTTACCCATGCACTCACCCATGTAAAAGTTATATGCTTTTACACAAGGAATAAGCAAATGTATTCTTTTCTGAATCGTATGTGAATATAAAAATGTTTTGAAAATGTTTATGCAATTTGGCAAACTTGACCCAATGTAGTTTAACAAAGTAAGCTCTTTTATTCTCCTGATTAGTTTTATCATTAAGAGTAAAAATCCCTTATTGAAAATTTTAAATTAATATGTGGTAAGAAAAAATAAAGTGGTTTGCACATCATCAAGAAAAGACTACATTCTTAAAATTATATTTGTATGTCTACTTGGGTTCTTAACCCAAGTAATTCACTGTTAAAATATGTACATTATCAGATAACTTTCCAGAGAAAGGAAAATACCTTGAGATAATATACAAGAAAAAGAACTACTTCAGCTGAACACTAAATAAAACAACAACAGCAACCACCACTGGTGACAACTGATAAACAAAGAACACGTAAGGAATCCTATCAGTTTCAATGGCAAACCCCTGCTCCTTTGAACACTTTACTGATTGGGCTCTCAGAAATTTGCTTCAGTCTTTTAGTCCTTTTAGCCTTTATGAAACAGTTGTTGGAAACTTAAGTGGCTATTCAGATTAATATATACTTTCCAGGAAAAGCTATTTGATAACTGGGGTGAGCAAGCACCTTCTACCTCAAACTAACCACTTACAGTGGTATATCTTTCAGATCTAAAGTATGTTCAGACTTTCCTTGCCTTTAGGGAATTTAAATTCAGATACATGATATTGTTCCAATATTAGCTCATTACCTCTTTACAACTGAACATCATTCTTCAAAAAGTACATGTAATTCTCCATCCTATAGGATCAGCCAACAGTATCTACTTTGGGAGCAATTACATATAAAATGTAAGACAGAAGATTTTTTCCTTAGAATTGTTTGTAAGAATTGTGATTTTAAGGGTACTGTTTCAGTCTGTGGCAACAGTGTTGCTGAGTTAAGCTAAGGATTTCTCTTCAATCGACATACTTTTAAAACTCAATGTGGCTTCCAGGTGAGACCACTGTAAGGGTTCCATCTGCCCTACATAGTGGTTTGTTACAGTGTTATACTTGTAAAACAATATATTCCATGAATAATAACACATGTCAATGAAGAAACAAAGATATTGCAAAGATTAGTATATGGAAGAAAAGTAAAAAATTTCACATTTCTCTTTTAACACCTGTAATAGTAAATTATATGTAACGATCACGTTGTTACATTAATAGGAATGCAAAGCATAAAAGAACAAGAGCTAAATCTTGCTTTCTTAAACAAATTAAAGACAAGTTTAACCCGAACCTGCCAAACTGTCTTCAGAGGGATAGAAATAGGCGGGGGCAGAAAGGCTCACCTCTCCTGTACTCCACAGTGCCTCTCCCATAAATCATTTAAAAAAATAGACAATATATCTGTCACATTTCCTGTTTTACTTTTTCTTCCATTCTAATCAATGGCAGACCCTTTACTGAATCCCCCTGCCCGCTATCTCAAAGGCACATTACAGAATAAGAGGACCCAAGTGTCACTTACCAGTTGCATGCCACAGATAAAGATAAGCGTGCACCTGCCATTGCAATAACCCATGGTTTCCGAGACCCCTGCCACAGCCACACTGTCCCACGTCGGCCACCGTCGAGCCCCCACTTTATCCAATCAGATCGCCGGGAAGGACAGGAAAACCTGCCGAGGGCTCGGGGGCTCCGGGCTGCTGCTGCCAGCGTCCTGGGAAGTGACAGGCATTAGGACCTGCTGGCGCCAAGGCGGCAGCAGCTCCAGCCGCGCCCGCCACACATACCTTCACTTGCTGGCTGCACACGCCGCGCCGCGGGCAACGCCGCCCGTGGAGACGCGCCCGGGGCCCAGAGGGGCAGCAGCGGTAGCCTCGCAGCGCCGCCGCGCCCACGGGCATCTGGCCGCGAAGTTTCGCCCCCGCCGCTCCTCGCGCCCGCTCGCCCCACGCCGCTCAACGCGCGCTAGCCACGAGCTCTCCGCCCGCCTGCACTAGGGGCAGCTGCCGCCTCGCTGCGCCGCTCGCCGCTCCGTGCGCCAGGATCTGCGGGACCAGGCGGGCGGGGTGCGGAGCGGGCCGGGAGGGGGCGTCCGGGTTCCGCGGTCCCGCGCGGTGGCGGTGGCTGCTGAGCGCAGTGATGCGGGATCCGCGCCGCGTCCTGCAGCCGCGCGTCCTGCAGCGGCGCTGCCCCTCCCCTAGCCCAGATGTGTTAATCCTCCTACAACAAATCCTTCAACCTGCTCCCCGCCGCCCCCTCCCGAGACGTCAACTTCTTCCAGCCCAGCCCGGCTGGCCACCGAGGGGGCTGTTGGCAGCAGTGTCTAGGCGAGAAGGAGAGGCGCAGAAGCGGCGGCTGCAGCGGTGGTGGCGCTGGGGTCCGAAGGGAGAAGAGTTCGGGCGGCATGTCCGGGGCTTTCTGGGCTTAGGATGGTCCTGCGCCCACGACCGAGCCTGGAGCACTATAAGCAAGCGAGCCGAGTGTGTGTTCGGGGCAGAAGGGACGAAGAGAAGGGTTAGAGAAGGGGGTGGGTGATGAAATAGGGGTGCAGCCAAAGCATCTCGACCGTCCGGAAAAACCCGCGAGGGGGAGAGTCAGAGCCCAGAAGGAGAAGGGGCCCGGTGGCGCCCGGCGCACTGCAGCCGCCCAGCACCCAGCTCCCGAAAACCTGCAAGGGCCGGAGGTTAGAGTCACGGAGCAGACCCTGCTCAAGAGAAGAGAGCAGGTTGCTGCGGTACTTGGTAGGGAAATTAGGAACCCGAGGGAGTGGGGACGCAATGAGTTACCGTTGCTGCTTCAAACTGTTGTTTTTACCCATAAAAGGAAAGGAACAAAAACAAGTTTAGCACTCTAAGTACTCGGTCTTATGGACCGTCCTGGGTGGGTGAGGATGTCTGGAGGTCGATGCTGCAAACCCGGTTAACGAGCGCCAGCCAGAAGCTGTGCAGTGAGTTCCGGTAACCTGCAGAGACAGGCTTCGGAGCCCGCTGCTGCCATCTGCGGGCTGAAATCTGAACAGCGAAGCAGTTTACATCCCAGGTGGCGGCCTCTGGGGCCTAAGTGTTCAGGATCAAAGAGTCCAGTTTCCTTTATAGCCACGGGCGGCTAGCCTTCGTAACTGTCCCTGGAAGCGAAGGTATAGTATCTGCTAGAGTCAAGTCACTGGAATGAGGTGTTAAATTGATAAGGAAAGAGAAAGGTTTGGAAACTCCCACACCCGTTCAAGAGATGAAAACACATCAAGCAAAGAGCTGTTCTTAGCAAATGTGATTTGACCCAACTGAGAACATGTCACTTCTGTAGGACAACGTCAGTCTGGGAATCACAAATAAGGACCGCAAGTGATTGCTTTCTTTGAATAAATATTATGGCGCATCAGAATAACCAAACATAAAGAAATCGATTAGGGCTTAGGGACCCCAGTCTGTAGGAACCCGGTACTGAATTTTCAAAAAATACTGTGTCAAGCACAGAGTCGAACAGGAATTTGATTTGTTAAATTTATAAAATGGGAATATTTTACTACTATCATGAGAATGCCTACTTTCAATTGTCCTATTTGTAAACTAACTTGTCTGAAAAATCCCTTTCAATGTTTAATGAAATTACAAAAGCCCGGTACATGGCTTTTATCCACTGTGGGCCTGGCAGGTAATAGTTCCTCCACAACCCTGATGAAACCGAAGGCAGAGGTATCTAGTGACAAATATTTCTGTTAGTTGTTCTGCCTTTATACGTGTTAGTTATCCAGGAGCTGCTGGGGATGCAGGTATTTTGAACTGACAAACAAAAAGAAAGCTCTAAGTGGATGCTGAATACTGGAGAAGCTGCCACCACGTTCTGAAAAGCCTTCTCTTATTACCTTTGAAAATTCGTCATTGCATCAATGCATTCATGTGGATCCATCAATAATCCTGCAGTCATTCCCCTGCTCCCAGCCAGAGCCTGAAGGGTCTCTAGGCTACAGAGGTTACAGGGAAGCATGATGCTTTCTATAGCTGACTCTCAGTGCCCTGCCCCTAGACCCTGGATACTACTTCCCTTTCAGTACATGCCCATATTTTTTCTGCAGTCACTTTGGAGTGTCCATGAGCTTTTGCTAGCCACACGAGCTATTTGATTCAAGAGTCAAGTTACAGCCCTAAGAACAACTCTTACCCCATAATGGATGGGAGGTGGTGGATGGATACCCCACCTTCTCAACCCAGAGATGGAAACACCTGAAACATACTCCAGTACAAACCATTCACTTCCCGCCAGAGCTGAGCCCATCCAGTCCACAGTGGCCCATTAGTGGTAATCTGTTCATCCATGCACTCTTCACTAGTTTCCTTCCTTTCCTGTCTCAATTTCCCTTCTCTGCCAGTGCTTCCTGGGATCACCTCCAAAAGAAACCACTATAGTGATATATTTGTGGCAACCCTGCCTCTTTAGAAACCAATGTAAGGCAATCTGCAATGGCTTTTATTCCTGATTTGGCATCATTGGCATAGTAATCTCAGAAGAGTGAAATGTCTGATCTATATAAAGTTGCCCTAGTTAGGAATTCAATGTCATTCCTTAAGGTGGCCATGCCCTGCATGTTCTATGTTGTATTAAGCCTCGAGCCTTAGTGGAAAAGATGACAAAGAGAATATCAACTATACCATAGAATTGTATGAAGAGTTATCTCAAGTTGGAACATCGATTGCACTTTCATGCACAAGTCATATACTGTTCAGTTATATAATACTTTACTAGGCTGTTGACAACTATTGTTAATTTTCTTGTTTCTGTGGGGAGACTGTGATACATAATGTACATCTCCCTCTGGCTGACATTAGCAACCTGCTTTAAAGTACTTTTCAAGTCTATTTCACACCCATTATATCGTATATATCTCAGAACAACTCAAGGAATACAATAGGTGCACAGCCACAAAGTGTCCACTGAACACTGTCATTTCAGCAAGAGCAAAAGCTCAAGCCTGGCTTTGTAACATCATTGATCATTTCACTCTTGAGTTTTACATCATTCATTCTAGTTTAAAAACAGTTAAGACAGCAATTGGCTTTACAGTTATAAAACCAAAAAATTTAATCATTGAATATTTTATACAAACTTGGAATTTTTTTTTGGAAAATAATAGTATTCTCCAATATATTTTAAAAGAAAATAATCACTCATAATCTTTCCAACCTTGAATAATCTCATTTTTGTGCAAGCCATTTTTTACAAAAATGGAATTATATCATACACAATAGATTTTAGTCTTTTTTTTTCACTTAACATTAAGTCAATAACATATGTCCAGTTTGTTAACTTTTAAGCTCATGGCCTCTGCAGCTTTATATCCCAAGCTCTGCTTTATTTGTAACCACGTAACCCTGAGAAAATCCCTTAGTTCTCTGTACCTTACTTTCCTTATCTGTAAAGGGGGGTGTTGGGGATCATAGTGCACAGATATATATTAGGACTGTTGGGAGGATTAAGGAAACGTCAATATATGTAAAGCTTTTGGAACAGTGCCTAGCACACAGTTAACATTTTAGGATTCTTAATTACTATTATTCTACATACAATATAGATTTAACGACTATAGAACATTCCAGTGTAAGAGTGTATCACAATGATTTAATTACATTCTTAGACATGCGCATTTTGTGCTGAGCAGAATAATGGCCCCTCAATCATGGCTATATCCTAATCCCAGGACCCTGTGAACATGGTAATGGCCCCTGAATCATGGCTATGTCAGAATCCCAGGGCACTGTGAATATTATGACAAAAAAGACTTTGAATGCGTGATTAAGAACCTTGAGATGGGGAGAATAGCCTGATTATCAAGGTGAGCCCAATCTGATCACTAGAGCCCTTAAAAAGAACCTTTCCCAGCTTGGGAGTGTGGGGAGAAGACAATTGAAGAAGTGGAAGGAGGGTCAGGGAGACGCAAGGCGAGAGGTGAGTCAGCTGCCGTTGCTGGACTTGTAGGTGGAGGAGGAGGCCCTGTAGAAGCTGCGGAGGGTCAGGAAACAGCGTGTCTCCTGTGGCCTTTGGAAAGAAGGCATCCGTGCCCCACAGCTTGATTTTAGCCCCCCAGAAACCACGTCCGACGTCTGAACCATAGAACTGTCACATGAATGTGTGACATTCTAAGTCCCTGGATTGCTGGCAATTTGTTATAGCAGCAATAGCAAACCAATATAGTTTGTCTACAATGTTTCAATATTTAAATTTATAGGTATGTTTTTGCCTGTGTTTTGATATTTTCTTATGATAAACTTCTAGAAGTGCACCCATGAGTCAAAGAATGTGCAAAATTGCAATGCTTTTGATAAATGATAGCAATTTTCCTCCAGGGGGTTGTATCAGTTTATACTTAGAAGGACCATGGTTGCCATTTCCCTCTGTCAGCGTCAGGATTGGATATTACCGATTTCTAAAAAAAGTTTTGCATCTTGCATTTGAAGTTGCATTTTATACAATAATTATGTATTAAATATAATGTAAATGTGCTAAGATGGACTGAGGTCTCTACATATATCATACTGTGCCCTGGCTGGTG